TGGGTGTGGCCCATTATTTTTTTTAAATTTCCCGGCTCTCATCTTATCTCTCCTCTATCCAAATTGGCACCAGCCAAATCCAATGCTTCTATCACGATCACGATCACAACCATCCTGTTGTTCATCGATTGCCTCGAGCAGGCCCCAGTAATGTCTCCTTCGTCCTAGCCCTGAGATTTTTTAAAAAATGCCATATTCAAGGCTCTTTCAGGGTTAGGAGAATGAGACCCATCATTGTTACTGGTATTTGGCATATTGGCTACACCACGGGGAGTTTGCCGTGTGGGCAGGTTATATTTGGTAGCCTGCCAGTTTGTCCAAGGTAGAAATGAGATAATAAGATGTTGTGCAGCCACAAATGCGGCCACGTGCTTCCAGGAGCTGGGTTTTATGGTCTCTGAGTCTTGGCCGTTGATGGGATTACATGGCGCCAGGGGGCCAGTTGGTGGATGTGATCCCTGCCTACTGGAATATGAATGATCTGGGGGGAGGATGCTCAGCCCCGATCCAAGCAGGCTTGGAGATCTCAGCCCCGGGACCTGTATGCCTGTGTTCCTCTGCCGGTACTTTCATGCGTGTGGAGAGTGGTCTCAGCATGGTGGTGGCTGGTTCTGGAGGTCTTTGGCTGCCGGAGCACTGGTCGGGGTGGGGAGGGAAACTCAACCCCTCTCCCCTCTAAGGGGCCCCAGCGAGGACAGCCAGGAGCGGGGGCAGGAGACTCTGCGCTGTTCTCTTCCAGGAGCTGGGTTTTATAGTCTCTGAATCTTGGCCGTTGATGGGATTACATGGCACCAGGGGGCCAGTTATATCAATATCTAAATGCTTCTATCAATATCTAAATTTGTAGAATCCTCCACAATTTCATTGATATTTTGATATAATTATAGATTAATATGCAGTTGCAAATAACATAAAGAGTTTATGCATCTTTGAGCAGTTTTTCCCAAGGGTGAAATCTCACAAAATTAAACTAAATATCCATAACAAAGATACTGATATTGAAAGTAGTGAAAATACAGACTGAAGATCACCACAGGATTCTTCATGTTACCCTTTTGTGATCACACTCACTGTCTCTTCACCTCCTGCACACATACTGTACCCTCCTCCTATGTGTGAGGATCACAGCATTTCTGTAATATTGTCCTTTCAAGCATATCACATTAATGGAATCATACGGCATGTAACTTTTTGGGAATGGCTCCAATCCTCCAGAGCATCAGCTGTGGTGTGTCTTGATAATGTGTCTCTTTAATTGACAAATAATAGTCCATGTTATGGGAACACCAAAACTCATTTATTCACCTGATGAAGGACATCTGGGTTTTTCCTTTTTTATTTCTCATGAATAAAGATGCTATTAGCATTTGCATGTAAGTTTCTGTTGAACATAAAATTTCATTTTTCTGAGAAGAATGTCCAAAAGTACAACTGGTGAGTTATGTGGTAGTAACTTGTGGCTGTCATTATTGTTTAAGAAACATCAGAGTGGCTTTTCAGACTGCTTGTCTTATTTTACTTTTCACCATTAATACACGAGTTATTCGATTTCTACACATCTTCATTGGCATTCGTATTGTCAGTTTTTTTTTAATTTAGCCTAGAAAGGAATACAGTAGTATCTGGATATAACTTTAATTTTCATTTTTGGCAAATAACGTTGAACCTACTATCATGTGCTTTTTTGCCACTTGTATATCCTCTTCCCATGATATGTCTCTTTATCTTTTGCCTACTTTCTAGTTCCTCTGACATTTATATTGTTAAATTTGTGAGAGTTAAATTAACTACTAGTCTGTAGTTAGACTGGATAAAGTCTGTTGGCTGTGTGGGCTCCAAAATTTGTCCACCAGTCTACAACTTTAATCCTGAAACAATATCTTTCACAGTGTTGGAGAAATTCCCAAATTCAAGTTTTTTTGTTTTGTTTGAAGTTTTGACTTTGGGGTCATACCCGGCAGTGTTCAGGGGTTATTCTTGGCTCTAGAGCCTGCTAAAAAGTGAGTCTTGGTCATAATCAGGGAACCATTTGTGCTACTGGATCCTCAAGTAAGGCTAGCACCTGAACCCTTCTACTATACATCCAATCAGCTATGAGGCACAAAATGGCACAAACATGCAGTATAAAAATACATAAATTTCTACTCCCCACCTCAAATCAGCAAAAGATAGGTGGGTCATCTTGCATCCCAACCAGATATCATAAGGGACTTCAATTTCCTCTTTGTTATAAGCGATATTTGGGGTGCAAGCCTGATTTTAATAATTTTATATAAGAAAATCATATCTATAGTATGGTTAAAACTAAGCTAGTGCATAAATAATAACACATAAAATTAATTGCCTTGCTATTTCCTATATTGAGTAAATTTGTCTCCTTAATAATAAGGGCTTTATGATACAAATGTTCTTAAGTTTCCCAAGCACACAGGCATTTTTAAACCAACTCAATTTTCACTTTTATTTTCAAGTATTTCATAGAATGATATAATTTCAAGGAATGATGGATCAACTAATATTAATTCCAACAACAAAATGGCAGAACCATAACAAATAAATTTGTTCACATGGCCTTTTCACATAAATGTCAAACTGCCACATGTTCACTGTGTGAGTTGTGTTTACTTACTGTTACAGCCACTGCATCTAATGGAATACCAGCAAACTGTGGTTCTAATCATTAATATAGAAAGGGCGGGAAAATACTTTCTCGTTCCATGGAAATGATGTAAATAACATGAGAGGGGTTATAAAACCACTAAAAACTATATAAAATGTATTAGTTGTGGGACTAATTAAGGAGGTTAGAAAAGGAAGGACAGAAGTCTTTACAAGAATGGTTAATTACAAGAGACCTTTGGTAAGAAAAAATGATTGGGATATCTTAATTTTAATAATATGAGAGATAGAGGTGTCCAATATTCATGAGAGAAAATAAACAAAAAGTATAGAATCAATAACATATGTGACTTATGAATAAACAGCACTAAGGAAGAAAAATTAATATAGTCACACATAAAAATGTCTATCATGTGTTTGGACCATCAGAAGTGAGAGATTCTTGCTACATATTCAGGTAAAATCTGGGAGATCAGATATTGCACAGTCTTTCCTCTTGCCACAAGCAATTTACATTGTAGATTTGTAAATACTATTTATAAATATTCAGATAGAAGCTCTAATACATCAAATTTGTGGTCGTGGGTTAGGTTTGCAGTTGAGGGCCTAGAAAACCACATCAGATCTTTGACTACACAACCTGCAGGCATTGGCATGTCTGTATCACATACAGGCCTTCTTGTCTTCTCACAGAGTTTGGTTTAACACTAACTTATCTTTAAAATTCCTCAGAAGTGAGCATCATAAATCATATAGAAAGAACATACTTCCTTTTATAAAACTCACTGAAAATTTAAACTATGATCATGTTTCATGATCACGATCATCCTGTTGTTTGTCGATTGCCTATGATCATGTTTAAACAGCTGAAATTTGTTTCTACAACACTACTGATATATAATTGAGTTACATTTGTATGTGTGGATTTGCTGTTTGAATATGAAGTGTCTTTATCAGCTTTATAGTCGTGGTGGCCATGGAAGGGGCTAATGGGTTTTCACATCCCTTTGATTATGACGATGAAAGCTTTCCAAAATCTCTTTGGCCAATTTTGTTTTTCTCTACAGAAGAGAAGAGAGCATACTCACCACTTTAGAAGAGAAACTTTCAATAAGTTGACAAATCCAATCTTCCTTTTACTAGTCTTTTAGAAATAAATACGAATGCTTTGTCTCAGATTTCTTCATGTCTCAAATAACATGAGAATGTACTGACAAAAAATGGTGAAAATTGGGCAATAGCTCTGGTTCTTTATTTTTCTGTTAGTCAGCCTTGGGATTACAGAGAGCAATATCTCTTAGGAAATCTCTGATAGTATCCTCCTTTTGATAAGCGTTTTATTGGGCCCAGTGTGAAATGAAACACAGGTACCTTTGGTCAACCTTACTAAGCATATAATGATGAAATGGTGAAATCTGATTTCTTTCACAGATCACCTTCTGAAAGAACTTATTTTGATATATTGTACTTTTCACCTGAAACTTCTCCCCTAAAGAACAATTTATAATCTAAGAAAAACATAAGAACTTAAAATATACAGTATGTGTGTGGTGAGGAGAGATTTTGAGGGATGCAGAGAGACAGTATGGTGGAAGGTCACTTGCCTAGCTTGCAACCCGCCTAGGGTAGATATCCAGCACCAAGGAGCACCTCCAGGAGTGATCCCAGGGCACAAAGCCAGTAGTAATCTCTGAACACAACTGGATGAGGGTCCCCAAAACAAAACCAGATATCATGAGATCAAATACAAAATCCGTTCTATCATTTCAAAATTTACAATAAATGTCACTTGATCACTTGATCACTTGATTTCCCGTTAATAGTCAATTTGCTCAAGATGGCGCCAGTAATGTCTCCATCATCCCTGTCACATGCTAGTGTAGCCCAATGGCGTCTGTTCACTCTAGGAACACGAAGAGCCTCAAAACGATTGTTCATGATCTTGATGAAGAAGTCTGACCATCTGGTAGAAGTCTGACCATCTGGTAGTCAAGTGATCAAGTCAAAAGACCGCGTGGCCGCCCATCTACCAGATGGTCAGACTTCTACAATAAATGTATTGTATGTATAATAGAATCTTCCTTATTAACTGTACCTGTTATTATTTTATGGGATAATATTCCATTCAAATTTACTTTGGAATTTTATATGGGACAATGGATGCTGCTATTATAGAATGTGACCTTCTCTTCTACTGCATAAACATTACACGAATCAAATAAAATTTAAATATAGCAAGTGTGTCCAGCTCTTTCTCAATGACCAAGGTAGAATGAAAATAATTTAAAATTTTAAGGGGAACCCAGTTGTTTACATGCCTTGTAATATCCTACAAACCTTTTCTCCTCTTGCTAATGGTTGCTTTTGTTTCTGGTTTATAGGGACCGAGCTCCATTTATTTTCACTTCAGAGATGGAGTACTTCATTACAGAAGGTGGGAAAAATCCACAGCATTTTCAAGGTTTTGTAGAGCTTTGCTGCCGAGCTTATAATATTGTCAGAAAGCACAGCTGCCTGCTCTTGAACCTGCTGGAAATGGTAAGTCCACTGGGAAAGCAGCAAAAAATAATAGGCTTCATTTATGTCTCTCTTTTAGTCGTCTGTTTTGGCTAATAGCTTGGAGCTCCCCAAAGAGCTATTCAAAACAGAAAGGAATGAACGAACTAACTGTACCATTGTATATATTATAAACTTATTTCTTAATAATTCATAACTATTGTCTCAAACATTCCTAGTCACAATAATATCAATATATTCAGGGTGAGTTCAGTGTATTTTTATTGAAAATCAAAGAGAGTAATTTGGGAGACTGCATTATCTATACTGGACTTTCAGATGTTTTTAAAGCACCATCATGATCTAATCTCAATTGAACGATATGCAATGCTGTGATATAAACCTGGCAAGACTTTTTACTAACTCTGCCTCATCTCTGCCTTTGATCACTGGTCTATTTTCCAGACTAAGAAGCTGAACATCAAAATTATCAGGCAACTTGCTAGTAACTCAAATAGAATGTGGTATATTTAGAAATATACGTTGGCATTACTGAGTCAAGGTCTGTTGATAAAAGGATTCCTTTGACTAATCCAAAGATGAAAGAACTGATATACAAAGCCCGAGATGGGAATCTTGCAGGAATATCCTCGGGAGGAAAGATGCAGTGACTCCTTTGGACACATATACTAATGACTGCAGTAACTGTAAAGGGGGAAATTCCTTTGGTAAATCAGCATGGTGTTTGGAGACACTACAATAAGCAAAAACAACTGCTCTGGTGCCTTTACATGGCTATTGTTTCTACTACGAACAATTAAGGTACAAGTGTGTGACCATGCCTTATTTATCCGCAACAGTTATGTTCTCCGCCCCACCCACCAACAGTTTTATTGTCTCAGACAGAATCTGAAATTTGGTGCTGTAGTCACTAGATTCCTAGCTTGGCATTTTACTGGTCGGGTAATAGGGTATATAAATTTACCCGAATAAGACTTTTATTTCATCATCTATCAAATGAAAATAGTTGTATCTACCAATTAACTTGATGAATAAATTACCTAAGAGTGACTGTTTTACATGGACACAAGCTATTTGCATGCTATTTTGTTTATAGTTTATAATAATCCTATTTAATAATTAATATAAGAAGAATGATCATTGCCATATTGTAGGGGGTCACTTAATTTATTGTACTATTCTAGTGTAGGGGCCAGAGAGAAAGTACAGTGAGCAGGGCACTTGCTTTGCATGTGACTGACTTGAGTTCAATCCCTAACAACTGAATATGATTCCTTGAGCCCTAAGCAAAGCCAGAAGCAAGCCCTGAGCACTAAAACTGAAAACCAAAAATGAATAAATGGTTTTATAATGTTTCATCTAAAATTAGGCATATACGCACATGCTAGGGGAAAAGGCATCTCAGATAGAGAAGGGAGCACCAAATAAAGGGTGTTGGGAGGTTCCTCTCAGGATGGGAAATGCGTGATGAGAGTAGACTATAGACCAAACAAGATTACCATTCAATGTCTCTTTTGCAAATCACAGCGCTCAAAAAGAGAGAGATAACAAAAGGGAATGCCCTGCCACAGAGGCAGGGTGGGATGGGGGGATGGGGGTTCGGAGGAATACTGGGACTGGCGGTGGTGGAAAATGGGCACTGGTGGAGGGATGGGTACTTGATCATTGTATAACTGAAACCCAAGCACAAAGGTTTGTAAGTCTACAACTGTACCTCATGGTGTTTCACTAATAAAAATTTAAGGAAAAAAATAAATAAAATTAAGCATATAGTATGGTACAGTATTATAAACAAATAGTGAAAGAAAAAAGACACCTCGCAAAATGACATTAAAATCATAAGTTAAAATGTATTAAAATATGTTCTTATTAAGTCTTAACTTTTAGTCTAAGGAGAAAAATGTGGACCTTAGTGGAAAGTAATATTACTATTAATATTCATATTAAGCATGCAGTCTTAGACTTTGACTCAGAAACTGAAATAGAAACCACAAGTTCTATGGACTGGTTAGAAAGATGAATATACATTAAACAGCAGTGCATTATTTCCTCAGTTTTCTTCTTTTTATCTATCAATTGTCTTCTTAGCATATTTCTATCTTATAGATATACATATACATATATATATTCAAGGCATCAAAAGACTTTAAAAAATCGAAAATTCAATAGACCTTGAGACTCACCTTCCCTGGTAAAGCTTTTTATAAAAATCAAATTAAAACTTGTGAGATTATTTTCTGCCTAATGTGTATGTGCCTAATATCTCTCAAAATGAGTCTTGTTTTAATTTCTTCAAATGAACTCAACCTTTCCCTCCATGACCCAGTTATAAATGAATACTTGATATGGGTCATAAATTCCCTCTTCTTTGAATGGTCAGTATCCAGGTTTACAAGCCACCAGAGTTTGGTGGGTTTCATATGAGTTAATGGCTCGACCCTGCTAGAGCACAGCATGCTTCAGATAGCCACAATGCTTTTAATTTACTCTTGGGAAAATCTCGGGGAGAAAGGGGGCGATCCATGAAATTCCCATCTTGCTTAAAAGCAAAACATCTGTAGGAGACTCCAGAGTGTTGCCAGCTGAATTCACTAACATAAAAGCCTATATTTTGTCTGCTTTTCTGTCATTAAAAAAAATCAATTCCAACTATAATGGAAGGCTCCCAAAGAACACAGGGACCATTCACCCAGTTTTAAATGTTTATCACACCCATTATTATATCAGATATTTCCCTGAAGACATAATTCTAACATCTCTACATTGTGACAGAGTGTTTGTTTCCCTAAACATAGTTATTAAAATAGATTCGGACTTAGAAGGAGAACCAAAGCAGGAAGAAACATTAAACATTAAACGTTCCTATAATTTAAAAAAGGAACTTATCTCTTCATTACTTGCATTATCTACTCTCTCTTTTTTCCTGAAAGTTATTGCCCCCACTGAAAGTTATTGCCCATGCAATCCAATTTACGAGGCCCTGAACCACACTGCTGAGGGTCAAATAACAGAAAACGCTAAACGAACCCCGCTATAAGCCCATAATGTGGGGGATGTGCAGATTCAACCATGTTCAAAGCTTTCTTTCTGAAGACTGGAACACATCAATACAGGGAAATTTTGTGCGTGGTACCTCAAATCAGCTGCATAATAGGTAGAGAGCTGGGTTCATCTTCTTAGAAGCAATCTGCTCTTGGCAGCTGTTACATACTCCGTGTGTGTGCATATGCTTGCATGTGGGCATTCATGTGCATACATATGTTGGCAGGGGAATAAGAACATATATTGGCAGGAAATAAGGATCCACTTTCCCTGAAATATTGTACGGAGTTGTAATAAGCAAGTCGGTATGAATTGAGAGATCCAGAGAAACTACAATAAAATTCAGATCTAGGAGAGTAATCTATTATTAGAAAATGAATCATGATAATAGTACAAAAATGGAAAATTTTCTCAGTAAGTACAGAGATGTCTTAGAACTCAACCCTAGTGGTAAAATAAAACCTAATTTAGACTCCAGTTGCTGTAGGAAATATATCTCTCCTATGGTTGATTCTGGGGAAATGATCAGTCAGGATCCAGGTATCTTTTTCATTTGTGCCCTCATTACTTAGGACAAGCATATGGGAAATTATATGAAGGAGCACCATCTGGGTAATATGACAGTCAGCACTTTGGCACAGCTCCTGTGCCAAAGAACTTAAACTGGGGCCATAGAGATAGTACACCAGATAGACACTTTGCTTTGCACATGGCAGACCCAGGTCCAATCCCTAGCATCCCATATGTATGGTCCCCCACGTACTGCCAGGACTGATTCCAGGAGTCAGCCTTGAACACTACCAAATGTGGCCCCAACAAGGAAACAGACCATCACCAACAAAAACACAAAGAACGTAAACTCTGTCAAGCACATGCATAAACAAAATACAGCAAACATCCGGAGCAATAAGATCTGTGACCAAGAAAGGAGAGTTGTACGGAAAGCCGAAATTCAACCTAATCCACAGGCTCTCTGACTCTTCAGAAAGGAAGCAGAGCCTTCAAAACAAATTCAGTAGAAGAACGGCAGGAAAGACAGTTCTGATTGATAGAAAAATAACAATCCACAGAGGCTTAAGGAGCATGGGTGGAATCTGCATTGCAAATGGAGGTAAACTAATATACCTCCATAGGTGGAGGCTTGTGCATGCATCAGGGCCGAACAGATTCTGTGTAGTTACTGCCTTTACACCAAAATGAGGATTTTTACTCTAAATACAGTAAATACGAGAGCCTAGAAATTTTAATGACTTCAATGAAGAGAGTACCATCATCTATCTTGGATTTCGGACGATAAATCAGAAGTTATAGGATTATAGAGACAGAGGTTAGAACTAGAAAACATTTATTCAAATAGTCTTGGCTATTGAAGAATAGCTGAATCAGGACAAAGATAATTGCAATAGAAAGGGCAAATGAATACCAGAGGTCTGGGGTACTTTTCAGGGAATTAAGTGACTGGCAAGAAGATCAGAAGAAAGAGGAGTCAAAGAAGACACAAATCTCTTGTTATCTAGACAATGGGAGCTATGTAATCGAGAATGTGAAACAAAAAAAAATTTAATTTGTGGGAATAAGAATTTGCTCAAATTTAGATGTCCTGAATTTGTGGGGCTGGAGAGAAAGCCCAACAGACTGAGTGTGTGCTTTGCATGTAAGAGGACCAGCCGCCATACCTGTCACCATTTGAACCCCCCAGCACTGAAAGGAATAACTCCCAAGCACAGAGTACAGATCCCCTGAACGCTGGCAGATGTGATCCAAAAACAATCAGATATCAGAAATTCATAACAAATGGAGTTACATCAGGAAACAAGAAAGTCTTAAATAAGCAATCTAATTTGTACCTCAAGGAAATAGAAGAATAAGAACAAATAAAACCCAAAGTTATTACAGGAAAGGAAATAATAAAAATTGGGATGAAGTATAACAGATAAAAATGGACAGTATGAAAAAGCAAAGAAAACAAGACCTGGTTC